GTACTCTTGGTGTTTTTGAAAGAAAAATCCTTAGAAATATTTTTGACCCAGTACAGGAAAGAGGCTGTTGGTGAATGAGATACAACTTTGAATTATATAGACTCTATGGACAGCCACAGATAGTGCAGGTCATCCTAAGCAACAGATTAAGGTGGCTTGGCCATATCTGGAGAGGTATCCAATGCAGTACGAATCGCCACCTTTAAAAATCCTTTTGGATCTCAGACCAGAGGAAGACCTCCAATTAGATGGCTGGATGACACTACTAAAAATCTCAAAGTAATAAAGATTAACAATTGGAAAAAAGTCGCCATGGATAGGAGGCGTTGGAGGCTATGCGTGGTTGAGGCAGCCAAGGCCTGTAAGGGGCAGAAGAAGAAGAAGGCATATTCAAAACTTACATTCTGTGCTTCCAAAGAAGAATGTGACACAGGCAGGTAAAGAAAGAAAAAATAAGATTTGTTAAAATGTGTTTGAAGATGGGCTAACGACTAAATTGATCACCAATCTGTTTCCCCTCATTCACAAGCTGTAATACGAGCAATTTGACCTTTTTAAAGGATTTTTTGCCTGTTTTGTAAAACGTGAAGCATTTGCAGCAAATTAAACAAAAGTAAAAAAATAAAAATATAGCAAACTTAAAAGATATGGCAAACAAAAGCAATCACTTAAAAAGTTATTCAAATTTTTTTTTTGGAAAGCGTTACTCAGTACCAAAATTTAAGAAATAATGCTGCTACTGCTTATGCTATGAAATGCAAAATTCTTATCAGAGGAAAAATAATTATCTAAACAGCTGTTGATTATCATGTAATTTTCAAACTAAAATAGCACTTTTTGTATGTTAAGGAGTTACTATATGTTTCTACTTCACAGTTATTGACGTGTTTCACAGGGCTCTAGCTAGATTAGATTATAATATGAACATAGTGATTCTAATTGTAAAAGTTTCTTTTCTAAATAATTTAAAAAGTCATGTTACTGATATATTTGTTATAAATCTTGTAATAGTATTTATTGGAAGAAAGAGAATGTTAATGTATGTTCTCAGTAGTTTTAATTTGCTAAACCAGGCAGTTTCTCTAGTAATAATTGTCTCCTTTATGTGAACTGAAGAAAAATATAATTTCTAGCTTTATTTTTTCTATTGGTAATTTTACTTTTTACTAAATGTTAAGTATCGATGTAATCATTCATATATTAATAAATTGGTACACAATTTTATGTCAACACATAGTTATTTATTATCTTAAATTGTCTGGAATTTATTATTAAACGATTGCACACTTGTAAAATTTACTCGGGTGGAAATTCAGCTTTTTTGACTTTTGGCCAATCTCATTGCTGTTGTTGGGGTTTTAATATTTATGTTAATGTCTTTTTAAACTATCGTTTCTGTTCAATTATTTTCAAGTGTTTTTTTATTTAGGTTAATATGTGTTTCTTTTATTTTATCGTTTTCCCCCTCGTATAGTTAGGTATGAAATACATTGCATTTTTAATTCATTGGTTTTGTTTTATATTACTTAATTTTGTGATTTTAATTGTTTTCAATAAATAAATATGTGAATTTTGTATTTTTTAAACTTGTTTTTTCTTTTCTAAACTTGCAAATGTTTTTATTCTTTTAAATGTTATTTTTCTACCATTTTTTTTCTTTTTTTAATATAGAGAGCTTTTCCTTTTTTTTTTCTTTCTTATTTTAAAATGTGTTACACTTTTTCCTTGTAATTTGGGTTCAATAAAACATAAATTAACGAGACTTTTTGGTCGATGCAGAAAACCGAAGAACTCAGACATCCTGGATAGCGATGATCCCGAGTATCCCAAATAATTGGTTTTCTACTGTATTTTTGCTAGTTTGCACTTTGTTGTTTGAAAATATTCAAGGGGAAAATTTTAAAAAGTGAGGCACCTGAGGAACTAAACTGAATGTAAGACAAATATACATATTAGACATATTATACATTATTAATTTTAAATATTTTCTTTATATTTAATAATGTGTCAACTTTTAATATTAAAAATACAAGTTATTAAAATGGATTTTCTTATGTATTTATACATAATAAATAATCTTAATCTGAAAAAAAAATTTTTTTAATATGTTTGTACAGATTTAAATTTTTCAGATAGAAAGTAAGAATTTTGCTTTTAATTCAAAATTTTGTGATTTCAAAAATTCTGCTATTTCAAGTTTCATTCTTAAACTGAGTTAAGCAATAATACATTCTAAAATAAATTCATTCAGTTATGATAAACAGCAAAAAAAAAATTAAATAAAGCATATAATAAACATAGATAAAACATATCAATAAATCTCTTGTTAAAACTGTTTAAAAATATTTTTTAGGAATAAATGTAGCAAGAAATAATGTATAATATTAAGTAATTGTGTTATTAAGTTAAGAAAAATTATCTTACAATTCAATTGAGAAATCTAAGTTAAATATTTTAGTTATAATTGTACCATTGAATCAAAGACTTCAGATTATCAAGAATTTATGTTCTGACAAAACTTTTTTGGTGTTCCCCTAATTTACAATTTAAATTTTGTGAAATCCAGTTAAAGTGACATTCTTTCTTCTTTTACTACAGGGTGCGTAGCGTTTTTAAAAAATGCTTAAAGGTGCTTATTTTCGTTTTTAAAAGCCCTTAAAGGTGCTTTTTTCATTGGGTGTTTTTAAAAAAGTGCTTAATTTCCCCTCTTTCAAAATGAGATTTTTTCCTTTACCATGCTGATTTTTGCTATGAATTATGCAAAAAGGCACGGTTCATATTGTTCTATTCAATGTTTTCACAATTAATTCAACCCCAATCTATTTCAGCGTATTGTCAGTCCGTAGCGTATGAAAACGCCATTCGTTTTACATGATTCAAAATTTCATGATTTTTGACAATTGTCAAAAACAATGCTAAAAGGTTTTTTTTTTTTAAAGAAAACAATATAAAACTGCAATTGTCAAAAACTTGAAAGCTCTGCCTTGTTATGATATTTTTTTAAAGTGCTTAAAAATATTTTTTGAGAGCTTGAGAAGTGCTTAAAAGGTGCTTATTTTTTGTTGTATAATTTGCTACTCCTCTTTTTTTTCCCCCTCATTCATGCTCAATAGCGATATTTTTAATGCAGATTTCAAAGAGCAAAATGCAACTTTAGATAAAATTAAAAATTGCAAATTATTTATTGCAAATTTCATTGTTATTTCCCATACAGCTGGCTAGTGAGAATTGCATTATATAAGTCCTTCTACTGTTCTTATCTGTGTATATAAAAAATGTAGTATTAAAAAGTGTTTCATTCGAAATTAAAACTAACTAACCATTAAGTTAATAAAAAATGTCAGATAATTTCTCCTTCTAGCAATCACATGTCTGCATGACTTTAATCTATATTAGACTTTAAATAAGATGTAAGACATTGATAACACAATATTTTCTACTTTCAAGACTTTTGCATTATAATTTTTTAAAGGAAAATTTTATTCCAAACACTTTCAGTATCATAATCCCTACATATAAAATATTTCTTAGCATAAGTTAGCATGTGTGTTTTTTATCTAAAAAAAAAGTCAGTACTATATTTTAAAGAAATAACTTACAATGCATTATGTTCTATTACTTCTACAATGAAACTTATAAAAAAATTGGACAAAATCAACAAAAAATTATTTGAACTTAATTGAATAAACTATTTTACAATTCACATTCAGTAGTCACAGTTTATGCATATTTATCAAAGTATCTTAAAAATTGATTAAAAAAAGGCATTAGAAAGCTAAACTATTGCATTCAGTAGTCTATGGTATTATTTTTTGCATGAAAATAAGTAAAAGTTTTGCTCATAACTGTCCTCATATTTTTACTTAATATTTGTAGTTTCTCTTTTACATTGAGCATAAATAAAAGGCTTATCTTTGTATTTTATTTTGTCTCATTTTTTTCTATTAAAAAAATAATGTTTTTGGACAAAGGAGCGGACCACCAGCCATTGCTTGTTTATAAATATGTTCTATCATAACATCAAAGTTAAGAGTTTACTTATTCAATGGTTTTTTTTTTTTTTCTTTTGAAGGTCTATTAAATTTTTTAAAAGCGTCCTAATGTAAATATTTTATTGTTGCATTCATTAATTTTTTAGCTATTTTTAAACCAAAATTAAAGATTTTTTTAAATTTAAATTTTGAATTTGTTTTGGAGGGATTAAATTGTTTATTTTGTTTTTATAAAAACTGTCTGCAGCTTCATTATTTTGTTTCAAAGACCATTTTAACAGTACATAATTATATATTTTAAATTTATAATATTGTTTTGCTTTTAACATACTTCATTGTACTGAATTTAAATGTTTATGAAATTCCCTTTAGATCACTTCTTTTTTTTATTATTTTTTATTATTATTCTTTGAGACGAAAGGATTTTATTCTTAGAGAATTAACAGGTACAGCTCTTTTTTTCTTGAATACACTTCATCTATTGAGTTATTTGGTTTTGTAATGATTTAAAACACATGTACATTTCTTTTTATTGATATTGAAATTTTAGAGTAAAAATAATTCATTGTATTTTTGTGTAATTGGCCAGAAAAAAGTTATTAAGAATTAAAATAAGAAATACAAGTTGCTTAGAATTATTTACATCTGTTCAAAATAATTAATGAAGTATTTTAGAAGTAAATAATAATAAAAATGAGAAAAACAATTTTTTGGAAAATGATAAAAAATTATTTCTTTTAAAGTTCCAAATCCTATAGTTTAGATTAATATATTATTAATAAAAATAAACCAATATTAATAAAAAATTAAAAGAAAAAAAAAACAATTCACTTCAAACGTTTCTGAAAAAAGTACAAATTATGAAAAGTAGTCTTAACATTTTTAATTCTGCATTTATCAATATAATTTATTTTGTTATGGAAATTTTGTCAAGAGGAGGGGGTGTGTTCATTCCTCTAATTCATTCATTCTACAAGTTTTCAATCAAAATCTGATGTTTTATTGCAGGCCAGTAAGGATAAAGTATTTCTTTTAAAACTCTTTGATGAAGCTTTCAATGCCCACTATCAAAACAGAACCAAGAACGCTCATAAAGTTGTCAAAACTCATAATGGTAAGTTGTTCCTTGTAGAATTTATTTGTTTATTTAGTTTTTATTTTAATACAAAGATTTTGTTTCTAAAATATGTACTCAAATTTAAAACTAATCTGAGTTGTGTATTAAATTTGAGAAAAAGAGTAACCAAAATAACGTAAAATATAGTTGTTTCTATATTCATTAAATCTATATGGCTTCTACGATTTTGAAAACATCCTTAGTTTACTTCATATATTCCTTAAAAAAATATTGAATTTCAAAACTATTTTAAATAAAATGAAGATTTTTGATGTTTTTAGAAGCATTCATTAGAATAATTTATTGTACAGTCCGCAAAAAAAAAAGATATCACCCTGAATAACTTTCGTCCTAATGATCGAATTTTCAAGAACTAAGTGTCAATCTTAATGGTTCCTGGGGGTGACCTCAAATATGCTAATTAATTAGTGCTAACTATTAATTAAGTTACGAAATCAGACACAAAAACGTACTTTCTCTGAATAAACATGCATTTTTTTTTACATATTTGGATTTCTTATCTTCAAAATATAGGGGGTAGCCGCAATCTGGGAAATGTGGTCCCCATAGTTTGGTCAGGAGAGCGATTCAAAGTTCGTACCCCTTAATGTTAATTTCGCTTTTCGTGTTTTCAGTAATATTTTCAAAACTAATGAAGCAATTCAAAAAAAAATTGCAACCTCTCATAAAACTCATTTACCCAAAAATAATTCCATGCAAAAAATAATTTTTAATAATTATTTATTATTTTTTATTATTTAATTAAAGTGAGGATGAAAAAATATTGAATTATAAGGTATGAATTTTTTTATACCATGTAAATCTACATATTTTTCAATTGAAAAATCTAAAGTTTCAACTGTTTTTATTTATTAGAAGCTGAGAAAAATTAAAATTAATTATTTT